GTTTTTGCTTTTGAGGGGCCCGCTGGCCCCCGCCTCAGCCGCCGCGTGTTCGTCCGTCGGACGCGCGCCCCTCGCCTCGTAGCCTCGTAGCCTCCTCCTCCTCCTCCTCCTCCTCCTCCTCCTCCTCCCCTTCCCTTTAATCCTCGTCCGCACTCATCACTCCGCCGTCGTGCCTTCGCGCCCACCTCACATTCCCTCTTGCAGGCCGCCTGACTTCGTGCATCGCGCCCGGCGACGCGCAGCGCGCGACGATCCTCGCGCCCGGGCGCCCTCGCGCCGCCCCCCTGGCGAGCTGGCGAGAAGGGCAGCCGCTCCGGGCCGGGCCGGGCCGCGCGCGCAGCGTGATCATCTCTGCGGCCCCTCGGGTGACGCAGCGCTTCCCCCTACAATTGAGTCGGGCCTGTCCCCCTACAGGGGGATTTTCGACGAAAAATAAAGAAAATACCCCAAACATGCTCACAAACAAATCCAAACATAATCCAACATAATGAAAAAAAACGTCAAACAAATAGTCCAAAAATAACCTGGGGACTATTTTTGGAATATGTTTTGACCATGTTGGGGTATCTTTGGGGGTAGTTTCTATGTTTCGTCGAAGATCCCCCTGTAGGGGGACACGCCCGACCTAACCCTACAGTGGAGGCCAGCCCACAGGACACCTTCCACAAGAAACCCAACCCTGAGGCCCTGGGCCCCAGGACGCCCATGGATTCTTGACGAGGGGACGTCACGCTCTTTCCATGGCGAACCCATCGAAACCCAAGAAACCCAGGGCACCCTGGAGGCACGCAGGGTGCTTCGTGCTGTGGGCCTCCTCGGCAATCCCTCCCCACCACCCTCTCTCGGCTCCCCCCTCCATCCTCCGGCCACTTCTGCCCCGAGGGCTCCGACCGCCGGGGGCGCGGTGCGAGCGCTGCGGCCGCCAGACCGAAAATCGGCCCCGCCGCCACGAATCAGGCGCAGGTCCGTGTTACGAGGCAACTCCTCGAAGCCTCGCGTGGCAGCTTGAGACCCAACTTGCGTCGGATCCACGTCGAATTTACGTCGGGCTCCCGTCGGAGTCACGTCGGTTCCACGTCTGATGTACGTCGAAACATCGCCGCGCGATCGTCGTCCCATTTCTCACGGAGCGGACGTGTGGACTAGATGGTGAAACTATTGAGCGCCGCGCAAAGCCTCCAGGATTCCTCATAGCGCATGGGGTGCGACTCGAAAGACGCGGGTCCACACGGGATGTTGCATGAATCGACGGCAACCCCGTGAACCCTGGCGTACAGGATCCACGGTCAAATGACGAGCGTCGCGCAGGCCAGTCTGCAATCTCAGTATGGCCCCGGGTGGGAGGGAGAAATCGAATCTGCTGAGGAGTCGGAGGTGGATTTGCACATCGGGCCCACTTCGTGTGTCCTTCGGGACGCATGGCACCGAAGTCAGCGCGAACGTATTATTGCTGCTTTTCCGTGACGCGTTCAAGGACGCATGTTCATGGCGATGTTCAAATCCACTGCCATCGTGCAGCAAGGATGACACAATCTACGCCTTGTGCATGATACACTACATGGGAGTGAGAGGCCCTGCCGGCAATTTTGTTTGGTGCCAAGGCCGAGAACAATGACGCAACAAACAATAAGGACAGGAACGCAAGTTTCAGCGCGGGCGTTTGGCCTGCTGGCTCTGCGCGCGTGATGGTGGCCAAGGGCCGCTTCGCTACGCAGCACCCAGTACCGGCACTCGCCTGGTCCCGCCTGCGCGGCGCAGCACCCTGTACCAGCACTCCTGCATAGCTAGCACAGACACAGTCCTCAAATCGTACCCCCTCTGCTCCTCTCTGCTTGGGCCCCATTCGCGAACGTGCCCCGCAGCGCAGCGCATGATAGTCCCTCCCATGATAATCCTTCTCATCATCCACGTCCTTTCTCCCATCCCCATCCACATCCTCACATGTGCCTCATCCTCCCATCGGTCCTCCTTCCTCTCCTCCTCCACTCCACTTCCCTCCTCCAAGTCCTCCGGCAACTATCATGTCTCACGTCTGGGCATCATGAACAAGCGCGACGAGTTTGTCTAGCCATCAACCCATTTGCAAACAAGGAATGCAAACGGGGCCAGGAATCACAGTCGCACATCTGTTTTTTTGTTATCGACGTCGGATTCAAAGGTTTGAGGTTAGGGTGCCGGAACAACCAAACATTTTTTGATTCGCGGGTCGAGAGCGCACCTCTTCCGGTCGAAGCTAAGCGGGCCGCGCAAAGCTTGAATTACGCAGAGAAGGGGGAGGAAAAGGGGGGCGCTGCCTCAGAACGAGGCCGGGAAGAGGCAAAACCTCGGAACCAGGCGGTGTCGAAGTCGACGAACTTGCAAAAGGAGCGCCTTCTTGAAACCGGTGGCGAAGTACCGGTCGAAACAAAATGCTGTGGTTGGTGCTGCCGTCTACGGCTCTTCATTTTACACCAGCCTCGAGTTGGCGGCGAGAGGTGAACTGGAACAACCAAACATACCCCATGGCCAAACATCTGATTTGCGTCTCCAAGCAATGCTCGCAATGAGAGGCTCTCCCTTGCTCTGCTAAAGCAATGCCATTGGCAGGCTGAGTTTGGAACGGTAGCTGCTCGAAGCCTCGTCGGGACCCGCCCACGCCATCCCGCCCACTGGTGCCCGCACGTAGACAGCACATAGACTGCCAGCGATTGAAACCCACCCGTAGCTCTTCACTAACATAATCCCACAAACAAATAGGGTGCCACTATCAAAGCCCACCCATGTCGCCCCACCCAAACAAAAAACTCTCAAACATGAGGGCCCACACGTAGGCGTCCCGTCAAAATGCACAAACCCATCAGGCATCACCCATAATATACCGCGCGCAAGGGACCATCCATCTTGAAAAAGATTCAACCGAAGTGGCCCCATACAATGGGTCACGCCTGCAGGGCCAGCCTCGCACTGATTTTGTTGCGCCACCCATGGTGGCCGACCCACACGATGCCGCCGACACGGCCAACCCACGAGGCCCAACCACAGGGCCGCATCCACTTGGCGCCTACGGAGTAGGGCCCCCCACCCCAGTCCCACCACTGAATGCACCCTATGTATTCTCCTTTCTAAAAAGAGACTCTACCCCCCCCCCTCCCCCGGACTTAACGCTTCCCCCTGGGATAATATAATTTCACATATATTCTGCACACTCGCCCATCCTAAATATGAAATCGTACCATCCCAGGCAGGCCGGTTTCCCCCCCTGAGGGTCCCTTGTAAAAAAAAAAACACTATGCGGTGACATGTTTTGCTCTAACATAGCACTTGTTCACGAATCCGCTGCAAAAAAACGAGACGAAGTGCGCACGCGCGCGTCGTCGCGCGCGCATGCCGAGTTCCTTCACAAACCTTCCGTGCCGGAAAGATGTCGCAATCGAGTTTCCCCCCAAACAATATACAAAAACACATGGTTTCGCAACACTGATGTGCTAAAAAAGCTTCCGCGCGAGCTCTTGCGAAATCTTACGAAAACCATAGGTTTTTCAAGATTTTCACAAAATGCATCCAAACGGGCTTCGCGCGCGCATGTCGAAATCTGTCGAACGCCCTTGCGCGTGTGCCGTCGCGAGAATCCTTGGCAACAAATGGGACGAAGTGCAGACGCGCGCGTTGTCGCGCGCGTACGCCGAAATCCTTCAAAACCCATCGGTTTCGGAAGGATTTCGAAATCGCGCGTCCAAAAAACCTACAAAAACCCAAGGTTTCGCAACACGGATTTTCAACAAAAGCGTGCGCGCGCGCTCTTGCGTCGTCGTCGTCGTCATCGTCGCCGTCCTCCCTCCTCCCGCGTCGTTGTCGTCGTCGTCGTCGCCTACGTCGTCCTCTGTCTTTCCTCGTGTTCGTCGTCGTCGTCCTCTTTGGCGTCGTGGTCGTTTCCGTCGTCGTTGTCGCCGTGGTCGTCCTTCCTCCTCCTCCCTCGTCGTCGTCGTCGTCCGTCGTCGGCGTCTCGTCGTCGTCCCTCCTATTTCGTCGCCGTCGTCGTCGTCGTCGTCGTCGTCGTCGTCGTCGTCTTCCCTCCTCCCTCGTCGTTGCCATCGTCGGCGTCGCCGTCCTTCCTCCTTCTTCGTCGTTCGCGTCGTCGCCGTCCTCCCTCCTCCCTCGTCGTTGTCGTCGTTGTCGCCGTTGTCGCCGTCGTCGTCCTCCCTCCTCCCTCGTCGTCTTCGTTGGCGACGTCGTCGTCGTCTTCGCCGTCGTCGTCGGCGCCGGCGTCGTCGTCGTCTTCGTCGTCGTTGTCGGCGTCGTCGTCGTCGCCGCCGTCGTCGTCGTCGTCGTCGTCGTCGGCGTCGTTGACGTCGTCGTCGTCGTCGTCGGCGTCGTCGTTGTCGTCGTCGTCGGCGTCGTCATCGTCGCCGTCGTTGTCATCGTCGTCGTCGTCGTCGGCGTCGGCGTCGTCGTCGTCGACGGTGTCGTCGTCGTCGTCGTCGTCGTCGTCGTTGTCGGCGTCGTCGAAGTCGTTGGAGACGTCGTCGGTGTCGTCGTAGTCGTTGTCGGCGGCGTCACCGTCGTCGTTGTCGCTGTCGTCGTCGGCGTCGCTGTCGTTGGCAAGTGCCATTTGGTACCCACCGTCACGGTCTTAAGAGATTTCGCGAAACAAGTTGCGGGTGGGTGGGTGGGATGTTTGCGCGAGCAGTGGAGTGGTCAAGCGCGGTGCAGGGTAGTCAGTTCCACCCCGTAAGCTGTACCCCGTAAGTTGCACACCATACCCGGCCCCCTACTCGTTGCACCACATGAGTTGCACGCTTTAGAGATTGCTCTGGAGATGCACACAATAGGTTGTACACAACAGGCACCATTGCACACCGTATGTTGCACGCCATCATAAAGCGCCACAGAGGCAGTAGCTATTCAAACATGGTAGACGAAGAAAACTTATGGATTGGGGCCCATGCGAAAAAGCAACATGCGGCTGTTCATTAGCCCCTGGAGGACATGCAGGGATGTATTTAGTGTAACCCATTGGACACCTTCAGCCCTGGCACCCGGGTTATCGCCTCCATCTTCTGCACGCTCAAGAGGATAGTGGGGTCCTTCAGCCCCAGTAGCTTTGGCCGCACCTTGCCATTGGCGTGCTGCATGTCGTTGAAGTGTTCCACGAGGGCCCTCCGGGGCATCACCGCGTGCGTGTAAAAGAACCTGTCCTCAGAGTCTGCTGGGGTGGAGAAGCCGATCTCGGGGTGCTGCTGAAGATTGCGCTTGAGGGAGGAGGTGCCGCAGCGGTCCAACCCAACGATAGCGAAATCCAGCGACAAGTGTTCCCAACTCCACAGCTCGGACGCCTTGATTAGCGGCCGGCACACTTTGCAAGGCTCTTTGTATTGCGAAGCGATCATCGGTCTCCAGAACTGTGGCACCAGCTCGTTCGCAACCTGCCAACGGCTGCACCGATGGGGCATGCAAAAACCGCCTCGAGACTCAGACGGCGAAGTTGCGCAACAATTGTACGGTATCCTCAGCTTGATGTCCCAGTAGCGCCCTCCGAAGATGGAGCATCCTGTATACTGGCCCATGGTGGTGGCGTACAGCATGTTCACGACTTTTTCAGTCGGGTCCTCGACGCTGTCCGCAAGGGAGTGCTTGGTCAGTTCCTGCAGGTTCCACCAAGCCCGCCAATCCTGGTGCTCCTCTAAGCGGCGCGCACACGGGGGTGGCACGAGGGGGCGCGGACTTCTGAGAAGGAGAGGGCTTCTGTGAAGGCAGGAGACTCTTCAGAAGCGTTTGAAGTGCCTCCCTGAAAGCCTGCGGACCTGTTTTTTTTGAATTCGAAAAACTGGTTCTTTGAATTCAAAAAACCGCTGTGTGAGCTCGAAAAACCACTCTCGGCGATTTGTCCGCCAACTTGTGTCCTCTGCCCTGCAGCCCCGTCGCAGCAGCTCGTGCTGCGCCCCGCGCGCTGCGACCGAAGCCTGCGGGAAGGACCCTCAGCCTGCTGAGAAGCCCCCCGCCCTCGCAGAGAGGACCACCCTCCTCGCGTCCCCCCCCCTCTCTGTGCGCACCGAGTCCTCGGGCATGTACACCGTCGCGGCCATGGGCGGGGGAAGCCAAAAGGTGCCGAGACCGCTACAGTCGGGGTTGATTGGAGAGGACGCGCGGGAGAGGACACAAGACCCTTCAGAGGGCCACATTGCCATAGGAATGTAAGAAGGCATGGGTCGCCGAGCTCAGGGCACAAGGGTATCCTCGATTTGGCAGGGTCGAACTACTCCTCGGACCTCTCCTGGGCTGCGTTCAGGCAAGAATCTGGAGGCGAATCCGGTGGTGGCGACGGGGGCCTCGCAGGAAGCCCACAAATCTGGACGCCCGAAATGGGTACGGAAAGAATGGGTACAATGCCCAACAGCGGATCTGGTTCATTTTGAACAGGATTCGCTGTCCACGCCGCCGCGGCCTTTGTCCATTCGGGACAGAAGGCCGCCTGCCCAACAGTGGCCGCTGTTGGTTTGGGAGAACAATTGTTGTTGGGCATTGTACCCATTCTTTCCGTACCCATGTCGGGCGTCCAAAACAAAGGCGAGACCAAGGCAAGGATAATCGCATTGGTACCCTTTCCTCCCCCGAATGGATAGCTTCATGAATAGGCCCATCTGCCGCTGGTACTCCTCGCTGCAGCGGCTCAGCGGCGGCCCTGGCGGTGGCGACGCTGCCGGCCACGCCCCGGCCAGCGCGAAGAGCACGCGCGGCGCGGGGCGGGGCATGACCCCCCCGGCCAGACTGGGGGGGGCAGGGCTGGCATGAGGCGACTGGGTCCCGAGGAAAGCGGGACCGCCGCGCCGCCCACGTCGCTTCCCTTGGCACCCCCAGCAATCTCGCAGAGCTCCCCGACAGGGCCGCTGGAGCGGAACGGGGGGGCGGAATGGGAGGAGGAGAGGGGGGGGGGGGAGCAAGGGAAAGCGGCACCACCAGCTCAGCTCCACCGCGGGGAGCCAGGGAGGGTCCTCCTGGTGACGTGGATCCCTCGTCTTTGCGACGACCCGCTCAAAACATCTCCAGATCTCTTGCTCAAGGAGGCATCGTGGACCTCCTCGGAGGTGGCCGGCTGCTTGTATTGGTGTTCCCTCTCTTCACTCCAAGCAAGGCCTGCAGAGAGCGGCGGGGGGAGGGGGGGAGAGGGGAAGGCCGGAGGGGGGGGAGGGGCGGGGAGGAGGGGCAAGCTAGGCGCGCTCCCGTCATATGTGACTAACACCCTACCCCTCCCACCCACCCCCTCCCATCACAATTGCGCTTATGTTCTCTCTATCTGCTGACGCGTGTCATAGCGGACCTCGAACTCAAAGTCGTGCCGTACACAATCGGAAAGGGGGAGCTGCGTACTCAAGAGGAGGAGGAGGAGGAGGTGGCTGATGTGCAGGAGGACCAGGAGGAAGATGAGAAAGGAGGAGGACAAGGACGAACAGCAGCAGCAGGAACTGGAGTGGAAGGAGCAAAGGTAAAAATAATGTCAGGGGAAGGCGGAAGACGGGAAAAGAAGGTGCGACAGCGGTGAGGAAGGAGGACTCGGATCCAGGAAAATGCCCCGCACTGAGGCGAGAGCGCCGTTCTGAAGGACAGGGGGAAAAATAACGATCCCCAACAAGGAGGCTGGCGCTGCAGCAGGAACACCATCTTGGAAGGACCACGAGCGATCGACCTGGAACGTCGCACAACAGCAGCTCGGGTCTATCTTGCTGATGCAGAAAAACGAATGCGGAGGGGGGCGCGCGCAGCTCACGCGGTCTTCGGTGGAGAGGAAAACTGCACTCATGTGGTTGAGTTGGGGACGGGGGGAGACGCAGAGGGAAGGGGTGAACAAATGGGGGGAAGGGAGGACCGCGGAGAGAGGAGGAGGAGGAGAAGGAAGAGGAGGAAGAGGAGGAGGAGGAGGAGGCGGAGGAAGAGGAGGAGGAGGAGGAGGAGGACGACGAGGAGGAGGAGGACGAGGAGGAGGAGGAGGAGGAGGAGGAGGAGGAGGAGGAGGAGGAGGAGGAGGAGGGAGGGGGGGGGGTCTCAAGCAGGGGGGCCCACGCCCGCGCGCCTCCGTGGGCAAGAGCGGCCGCGGACGCGGAGCGGGAGGAGGAGGAGGCTTGGAAACGGGACCTGGACGACGCAGCCCCCACGCACGAATTGAAATGCCGATAGCAAGAGCTCACGACGGAGTGTCAAAATAGGACAATCACGCCGGGTCCCTGGTGCAATCTGTGGCGGCGTGCAACTAGCCACGCCAATCACGAAATGACAGCTCCTCTGCTCGCGCAAGCAGGAAGCAAAAACACCCTCCCAACAGCAACTATAGCTTTGCAAGGCCCATGCGGCCGCGATTGCGGTAACTGCTTGGCACTGGGTGGCACAACTCTGCGGACGCGCTGGCGCGCGAACCCTCGCACGATGAACAGCCGACTGGTTCGGCACAACTGATTGGCCGCGATGGCGCTTACCGATGGAAGCTTCCCAGCGCGTCTCAAAGCCGCGCTGGCGGGGCGGGTACTTCAGTGCGGGTCGGTCGTTCGGGCGGGCACGATATCTGAATGGCGTCAACAACGGCAGCAAAGATGATAGTGGCAATGGTGGTAGCGATGGTGGCGATGAAGATGGCAAGGCGAATGACGGCGCCGATGCTGGTGGCGATGTTTGCGATGATGTCCATGTGTCGGTGATGAAGGTGAGACACGTACTGGCGGCAAAGCGGCGTTCAGCGACAACGGTAACGGCGGTGATACGCTGGCGCTGAAGAGAGTGGTGGGGAGCTGCGCGCGCAGAACTTCAAGTAAAGTGGCGGCGTGTTGGTTGACAGACAAAACGGTGTCTGCATCTGCGCTCGAAGGGCGACACATTGACGCGCGTTGCTTAGAAAACCAATGGGCTTGAAACGAGCTCGACACGCGCGCGTGGCGGCGCGCGTGTGACCTGCACGGTATCCTGCGATGCGGACTCGTGCAATGAGCGGGCGCTAGATCGACGCAGATGCACCACGTGGTGTCATGAGGATGCGGAATCCGAACGGTATTGCGACAATCGTATGGTGGCCATTTGAATTTGGAAAGTTCACGCAAGAAGAAACTTGAGATGACTGTGCATGGAACTCAGATCGCTTTGATTTGTTACATGCGAGTGTTTGCTGGATGAAAGCGTTGGGTGTGATTTCGACATGCGCGCGCGTGGGCTGTGTTGCAATATGTTGCAGGGGGGGGATTATTGCCCCATGACGTGTTGAGATGATGAAGTGTGCACGCACTATATATTTTGAAGGGGTAGGGAATCAATGCCCAGTCGCCTGGGGCAGTGACTTTACTTGGAAAATGAGCAATGCGGCAAAACCACAAGAACATTGCAATGCCGACGAAGGTAGGGGTGGGTGGGTGGCAGAGCTTGCAACTCTTCTGAACGGGGGATACCTGCGGCGGACGCTATGTGGTGCAAGCTATGCGGTACGAGCTATGTGCCGTCACGCTCGTGATCCTGCACAGCGTGTAAGTAAAGGAGCGCAAGCTACGTGCTGCAATATATGTGGTGCAGGCTACGAGGATCAAACCATGTGGTCCAAGCTAAGCGGTGAAAGCTATGTGGTGCCTGCTGTCTGGCGGTACGTTTGTGGTATCATGTGCATATACTATTATACCATATGTAGGTCTGTCATGATATCCAGGTCGGTCAAGGACTCAAGTGAAATATGTGCGGCGTAAATCATGTGGTGCAATCCGCGTGGTGCAGATGTGGGGCGCGAGCAATTTGAACCTTGGCCGCAAGTGGCCGCCTCGGACGCTCGCGCGAGCATCCCACCCGCCCGCGCGGAATTTGTTGATAAACGAAACTTAACTGCGGCATCGGCTGGACGATGACGATGGTGACGTTGGCGACGGCGGTGGGGACCACGTCAACGACATTGATGTTGATGGCGATGAAGCCAGTGGCGATGTTCATGGCGGTTGCAACGATGACGCTGGCGTCGACGGTGGCGAGTGCGCGCGCGCTAATTGGGCGACGGCGGCGTCTGCAATTGCGACAGCGACGGCGGTGATGATGTCGACGATGGCGGCGACGATGATGACGATGGCGGTGATTTTTCCCACGAGGCATCGGTAGCAATGCAACGGCGACAATCGAAGAGTCAAAGTGGACTTAAATTACCAGTCCAGTCTGCGTGCGCAGCAGAGGATGAGGAGGCGGGGAAGGGGCACTAGCAAGCACGATCGGCCACTAAGGCCGCGACCCCGAGAACTCGCCCAAACCGGCGCATGCCTACGAGAGAGAGGGGTGCCGGCAGTCCTGGTGCATCTTCTGTAACCTGTGCCAGGTTGCTTCATACAGGCCAACGGGCGCCCCCTCCATCCCACGCGCGGCTCGTCGCATCCGCGCAGAGGGGCGGGGACAACCGTCGCAGAGCGCCTAGACACAGCAAGCAGAGAGAGGCACTCCTCGCAGAAACTATCCTCAACGGCGCAGAAGCAGCGCGGGCGGAGGGGCGCAGGAGAGGCGAGGTCGCCGAGAGAGCAAAAGGGGGGCGGCGGCGGCAGCGAGGGAAGCGAGAGGGGCGAAAAAGGCAGAGAACGCACAACACGCGACGATGAAAGGTGACCCGCTAGCAACTGCAGCGATATCCGCCATGGCAGCAGCACGCAGCCACCAAACTGTTCTAGAATCGAGGGGCCGAAATATTGCACCCTGGCCGCGAGCCAGGCCTCTTGCACCGTCGGGCGCCTCCTGCATTGCAGTCTGATCCTAGCGCGGCAAAGTGTCAAGCGGGGGGTCCGCGCCCCTTCCATGGAGGACGCTTGAACGATATGGGATGACATCACGCAAGCACACGCAAATAATCCTCTGCCAAGGGAAGGTTGGGGGGGCCACCGACGTCGAACAATGGAGCCAGGACTCCTCGCTGAAAAATGGGCCAGGGCAAGGGGCGAGGACTGGGCTCAGACGCCGAAGTGCGGGACAAACCGCATAGCGTTCCAATGGGGTCCGCGGCACCTCCCTGCCAGCAGCTCCAGCGACATATGGCGCGTCCATGATGGAGCCTCGCACTGGCGCAGACATCTCCGGCAAGCATCCGCAGCGCCGCCGGGCCATGGCAGCAGGGGCTTGCCGCAACAACCACGCGGATTATATATGGGGGCTCCAGAGACCTGGTCAACGCCGACCCCAGGAAGCCACCGCTAGATTCGCTCGTGAAGACAGAGGAACGGGGCAACAACAACACGCTGAACGGGGAGGCGGGCGGCGAGTTCCTTTTGGAGCCCGTCGGCCTGAAGGAGCGCCCCGCCATGAGCGATGTGCTGCTCCCGATTCGATTCCATCGACCGAACAAAAGTCCCCCGCCGCCAGGGCGAGAGAGAGCGAGCAGGATGGAAGTCGTCTTGGAACGCCAGGGGTGAGGGCAGCATGCGTAGCCTCCAAAAGAGAGCAAGCCGAACCGGAGACGCCATGCCCACGCTGAAAACATCAGGAAACTCAGTGGGCAACCCCAGATCCCGCGCGCGCGAGTGCACATCGCAAGGTTAAAAAAGATGCGAGGGCCAGCGAGGAGCTTCTGATGCGCGAAGCGCAGAACCGACGCAGCACACGCCATAGACGTTCGAATCATCATCGTCAGACCGAGCCCCAATCGACGAATCTCAATACACCTTTGGTGCTACTTCTTTAACACTGCAGCCCATGCATGTCGCCATCCATCGGCCTGACCGCCTGAATAGCAGCTGCTCCAGGCCCGGGGGACGCGAGCGCACGGTAAATATGTCAACGAGAACGCCCCGTTAGATGCAGACCATAATGGGCCAGAACACACCTCCCGAGCCTCCATCGAAGCCCGAGCCCTCCGCCCAGCCCCTGAATCAGCGGCAGCAGCAGAGGAAGCGCGACAACGACACCACGCAAACCGAACCACAAATCACCTGCGCGCCCACGAATCTGACGAGGGAGCCAAGACGCCAACCACCGCGCGCGCGCGCAGATCACCTGCCAGCGCAGAAAGAGCATGCTGGATGGGTTACCATGCCGAACTCCACGACGGATACGAACCGAGCGATGCCGCGACCCACAGGAGGCAGACAATCCCAGAATTGCCCAGGTACAACGCCTCAAAATAACCAACGACCCCAGGATGAACGCTCATGAGAATCAAGACCCGAAGAAGCCAGGGGGCCGCGATGCTCGGAAACACAGCGGCAAAACCCGCCAGGAATATGCATGCGCTGTCCCACCCCAACATACATTGCTGGACGCCCCAGACTTCCGCCTCGTGGATTTGGTCGGCCATGGAACGCCCCGACAGACAGGCCTCTGCCTTCAATGCCGCATCGCGAGCACATCGTTCCAGCCGCAGCGAGAAAAAGATGGCATGAGCTTGCAGTCTGCGTCGGCCATCGCCAGCGGTCGGCAAGCGTCGAGAGAACGAGGTGGGACAGACGAGAGGTCGGAAGCATGATCGACCTTAGCGAGAAAGGCCAACAGCATGTAGCGCATCGTCACAGGAAGCCCATCACCACGAGACTCTATATGGCGAAGGTAGAGTTCACGCAAGATCGCAACCAGGCGTGGAGTCACGGCGCCCTCTCGCAATCTGTTCAAACTCGTCGGACGGCGTCGCCCAGTCGTCGCCCGAGACCCCAGAGATCGGAACCACGATGGACTCCAGAGAGCCCCAGCCATCCGCATCGCACAAATGGCCCCCGAAGACTTCCTTGCGCGACGCGAGTGCCCCCCCCCCCCCCGCAAGCGGGACAGACCCTAGGGGGCCCCCGTCCGAGTCCAGGATGCCACCCAACGAACTGCGTTTGCACATGGGCCCCCAGAGCAAATTTCGCCTCTGAAGCTCGGCCCGCAAGGGGGCCTTCGCTTCTGCATCAGTTTGCCGTTCAACTTCAAGACCCAACTTTCTGGAGGTTTGACCGCTGCAACGACTGCATGCGATCGCGGAGGAGAAGCAGAGCGCGGCCGGCGCAGTCGGCGACACGGAAGGCGAGCAAGCTCAGGATGAAAGAGACGTCCGACTGACTGTGCCAGAGTGCCCCGCAGAGCTGCCAACGCGAAGTGGGTCTTCTCATCGACCTTGGTAGCTAGCGTCTGTCTCATCCGTTTACGAGTCTGGTAGCAGCCTTCCCGCGCGCAGGCCTCCTCCCCCAATCGGGCCGGACCACTCAGGGCCCTCCAGCAACAACTCAAGGCCTGCATGGAAATCCGGGCTCGAACCCACCCTGGGCGGGGCCCTAGGAAACGCAGACCGGGAGTACTCCCGAATCGCGGCCATCAGAGGAACGCGGTCCGAGACGCCCCCAAGAAACGAAGCCTCCCCAATCGCGGAACAGCCGACCGTGGAGCCCGCCAGAATGGCCGAAGGATCAGTGAGATAGATGCGATCCAGTCGACGGACATGAACAAGAGCACCTTGAGATGTCTCTCGTCGCGTCGGCTCTGGCTGCTGGGCCTCCGCCCATCGAAGAAAGAACTCCAAGCGCGTCCCATGTCTGCATCGGCCCCCTGGGCGCCACCCCCCCATCAACGCATTGCCTGCCGCCCTCCCCGAGGGAAAATTGAAGTCCCCACGGACTAGCAACAGCGCATCACCCGAGTTTCCAAGAGCATTCTGAATCTGCTGAAGGTCGCGACGGACACCCGCGAGGGCTCACCAAAGACAAGAATATGAACATTTATCACCCAGAGGGCCCCCTGAGATCCGCAACATCCGGTAGGAAGTATCTTGCCTGGAACAATCGCATGGCGGTCGATGTCCGAGAAGCTCGCAGAGATCAGTAGAGGGAACAGTGAGAACACCCCCGGCGATAAACGAATCGCAACTTGAGAGACCAATCGATGCACCTCGCAAGTAACAGTGAATAGCCGTGGCGCCACCCAGAGTCCCATAAATCTCTTGAAGACAACGGGTACTGGACCGTCTGGAATCTGAGAGAAACTGCGTGTACCGTCGAGAGGCACGAAGCGAGGCATGGGTGATGCATGCGAGGAGCCCCCTGGAGATCCGCGAAAGAGCAGAGAGAGCAAGGGGCGGCGGCGGCGAGAAAAGCAGAAACGTCTATAAAGGGTGGCCCCTCCACCATGCGCAATACTGGACTCATGCGCTTAGGCGGAATTCCCGCCATGAGGAGAATTGCGCCGAGAGGGTTCCCCAACAGCGGCACCCCCAGGGCCACTTGACCTCTGCAGCGAAACTTGCAAAGCTGGGCCCAATGACGCGTCGTAAGAATTTGAGCTGCCCAGCCAATCTCTGTCATCCTCAGAAGGGACGGGGGGGGGCAGTATCGCACGCAGCCTGAAACTTCGGGAGGGCAGCTTCAAGGCCTAGAGACTTCAAACCCTCTGCGTCTGCTACATGTGGAAAGTCACCGGGCCACTGGAGCAACACTTTAATACATGAAACCGCGGGACAGAATCCACCTTCGAGCGAAGCGCGAAAACGTCCCCACGGATCACGTTCGAATTCGCCTGGGGCCCGAACTGTGACGGACTTCCCCCATCTTGAAGAAGAACAAGCGATGCTGACGAGAAAGCTTGCGACGCACCCTAAGCTGCCACAGGTCATTCTGGTCCCTGGGACTCTGCATTGCGTACGTTTGGCTCACAGGGACACGGGAGAGAAAGGTCGGATGAGAAAGCTTGAGAGCATCCAACCTCGCCTGACATGCATCAGTCTTCACATAGACCGATCCAAGATTGTCCGACATCGCACGCAGCTCTCGACCTTGGGCTGTCGCAATCGTGCTGATCGCGAGAAGCTTGTGATCGAGCAACACACTGGTGGACGAGAAGTGATATGCTAGCAGCTGCTTGATCGAAGCAATATCCGCCATGGCAGCAGCAAGCAGCAAGGGAGTTGCGGAGCACGCAAACTGAACTGGAATCGAGAGGCCGAAAGAGGCCCCTTTGGCCGGGAGTTCGGCAAGCCCTCGGCTGCGTCCAAGCTCGAATCACGAGGCCAAGCGTTTCGAGCTGGAGCCAAACTGGCTACGGATGATGATGAGGATGCTGATGATGCTGATGATGATGCTGATGAGGATGATGAGGATGATGCGAATGATGATGATGATGATGATGATGATGATGATGATGTTGATGATGATGATGATGATGATGATGATGACGAGGATGATGGCGATGGCAATGCTGACGCTGGCAATGATGGTACGGGGTGTGCTGATGAGTGTCGTGAGTCATCAGAGAGTGCGCGCTCGCAGGAAGTCCGAATCCCGATCATACACATCTACATTCGTAAATCTGTGTGCAAGACAATTACCTCGGCACAAATTGATTGGTGTGGCATGTATTTTGAGCATCTCTGTGCTGACATGCTGGAAAAGCGAACGATGTCACCACAAATTTGGCGTTCGAGCGCGGAGAGGCGCGCCACGCCTTGTGCCTCAGGCGGTCGAGCACCTCGGCGACCGCCTGGTTCACCTGCTCGCGGTCGGCGCTGGGCCCGGCGTGCTCGCAGACCTCCTCAAGGGGGGGGGGGGCGGGTCCTCCTCCTCCTCCCCCTCTCCCTCCTCCTCCACCTCATCCTCCTCCCCCTTCCCTTCGTCCTCCTCCTCCCCCTCCTCCTCCTCCTCCTGCTCATCCTCCTCCTCCTCCTCCGCTCCTCCTCCTCCCTTCCTCCCCTCTCCTCCCTCCTCTCCTCCTCCTCCTCCTCCTCCTCCCCCGCCCCTCCTCTCCTCCTCCCCCTTCTTTCCTCCTCCTCCTCCTCCTCCTCCTCCTCCTCCTCCTCCTCCTCCTCCTCCTCCTCCTCCTCCCCTCCCCTCCTCCTCCGCTCCTCCTCCTCCCTCCTCCTCCTCCTCCTCCTCCTCCTCCTCCTCCTCCTCCTCCTCCTCCTCCTCCTCCTCCTCCTCCTCCTCCTCCTCCTCCTCCTCCCCTTCCTCCCTCTCTCCCTCCCCCCGGCACCAGTGGCGGGGGGGCACAGTCGTGCAGCAAAAATCAGCCTGGCCATGGACCCAGCCATGTGCAGTTGTGAGTGGCGCAGTTGTGGGCATCGTCTTCGGTGGAGCTCCCCATGGGGCCATGAAACGTATGAGGTGCGTGTATGCCGAAATTGGTGTGGGGGGCGCGTGCGAGCACCGCCGCTGGGGCCTTCGGTGGAACTCCGTATGGGATCACGAGACGTGTGAGGGGTGCGCCGATTTCTTTCTCCAGCGCACCATTGGGAAAAGGAGGTCCACGAGGAAGGGGACGACCGCAACACCTCACGAGTAATCCGTGCACTCCAGGGCGATACGCGGCAGAGACTGATCAACGGCTTAGCTTACAGCAGCTACCTGGAAGTAAAAAACACAGGCGAGAGGAGGAAAAGGGAGGAGGACGAGGTGTGGTGTAGGCCTTCGGTGGAGCCCCCTATAAGACCATGAGAGAGGTGTGACGACATGGGTGCGTGGGACGCGTTCGAGAACCGCCACTGGGGCCTTCCGTGGAGCTCCCAATGGGGCGACGAGACGTGTAAGGGGTGTGCCGTAATGGGTGCGGTAGACGCGTGCGAGCACTGCCACTGGGGCCCACGAAACATGTGAAGGGAGTGTCGAAATGTGCGCGGGGGACGCATGCGAGAACCACCACTGGGGCCTTCGGTGGGGCTCCCGATGGGGCCACGAAACGCGTGACGGGTGTGCCGACATGGGTTCGCGGAGCGCATGCGAGCACTGCCACTGGCCTTCGGTGGGACTCCCTATGGGGCCATGAAACGTTTGAAGGTTGTGTCAGAATGAGTGCGTGGAACGCATGCGAGAACCGCCAATGGGGCCTTCGGTGGAGCTCCCTATGGTGCTACTTGACGTGTACAGGGTGTGCCACCAAAAATTGTGCGGGGTACGCATGAGAGAACCCGCACTGGGGCCTCAGGTAGAGCTTCCGATGGGGTCACGAGACATTTGACAGGTGTGCCGAAATGGACTCGAGGGGCGCATACGAACACCGCCACTGGGGCCTTCGGTGGTGCTCCGTATGGGGTCACGGGACATGTGAGGGATGAGCCGAAGTGGGCGGGGGGACGCGTGCGAACACTTTCGGTGGAGCTCCCTGTGGGACCACGAAACGTGTGAAGGGTGTGACGAAATCGGCACGCGGAGGGTAGACGCAGGACCTGGAGGATAGCAGGGGGGAGGAGGAAGGAGGAATGAGGAACAAGGACCCATCACCACAGGATGGTCGGGAACAAAACACGAGGGGGAGGAGTAGAAGGAGCAGGAGGAGTAGGAGGAGGGGGCGGAGGAGAACCAGGAGGAGGGGAAGAGGGGGGGGAGGAGGAGGAGATGGAGGAAGAGGAGGAGGAGGAGGAGCAGGAGGAGGAGGAGGAGAGGAGGAATGAGAGGAGGGAGGAGGAGGGAGGGAGGGAGGGGGAGGGAGGGAGGGAGGAAGGGAGGAGGAGGAGGAGGAGGAGGAGGAGGAGGAGGAGGAGGAGAGGAGGAGAAGGATGAGGTGAGGATGAGGATCAGGAAGATGAGGAGGAGGAGGAGAAGGCGGAGGAGGATGAGGAGGAGGAAAAAGAAAAAGAAGAAGAATA